TTCAGTTTGTGAGATCTGTAAAGTACAGCGTGAAAGTACTGTTAAAAGAAGATCACAGACATTTCACCTCTCCTGTTTTGACAGTAATCTGCGTATCATATATATCTCATCAGTATCATGTTTTATGATAGACAGTGAACAGTCACTGTAGGTTCCTTTTTTCCCCCATTCAGTCACCTTATGAACAGTGTGCCTTTTGTACTGTGCTTACTGTGCTATTATCTTTTTATGAAAATAAGCAGAGGGTATTGGACTGTCGTCATCTTTTATGTGCCTTTATCTTTCTTTCTCTCATGCGCTCTCTATCTCTTGTTCTTTCTCTTCCCCAACCTGGCAAACCTGCCTAGTGAGTAGAGCTCCAAAGTGGATCAGTTAGTGGCAGATTTAGATTTGAGGTGAGGAAAGCTGAGTCCCAGTCGCAGCTAAACCGATTTCTTCAGGAAGACTCTGAGGGAAAGGAGGACTGGGAGACTTCCATATGCTCTGTCACCCCCTTCCCCTCAGTGATCACCTATAGTTGTCTCCCCACAGCTTTCTTACTCTTTGGTGGTGTATATCCCCGCCTTTACAGCCCCTTTCTAAATCCCTTCTCTATGTAAACTTCTTCTCAGATGTACCCACCCCTAAACCCCCATCTATCAACTAGTTGGCAGTGGCATTGTTTTTAATCATCAGAACCTCAAAATTATTATTATCGCTTCTGATGCGGCAATTAAAACTTCAGGTCAGAGGCACAACGAGCGGTGATCAGCAGCCGAGCTGAGAAGTTTTAATTAGACGATCAGAACCATTAATGCACAAAAAAAAGGTGTGCGCTGGGAAATTAACGGGAACGTCTTAATCAGGGTTAGCGACTCCGAAGAGGAGTCAAGTGAACAGAGAGCAAAAAACAAATCATTTCCGCACCACTGGGACAAAACTCAATTAAATATGCATGCGGAAAAATGGAAATTTCTCAGCATCGGCTGCACCGACTGTTGGAAAACTGTGGCAAAATCTCACAGCGGGGTCGACGACCTGCTTATTGTTATTCTTGTGTAATAAAAATGAGAGAGGGGCCAGATGCTGGGGTCTGGGTGTCGTGCCGTAGTTGTCCATCAGTGGCTTTCCGCTTGACTTCCTTGCGGCTGCCGCAGCTTCTCTACCATGCATGGGGGGGAGAGGAAAACATTCTTTTCCTGCAAGCTGTAAATTTACAAAAATAAAAACATGGCAATTTTCAAGTGTGTCTGTGTATGTTTGCCTTTGTGGCTCAGTGATTTCCCTGAAACACACATGCACATACGCTCTCTCACACATACATCTCCCTTGAGAGCCAGAGACACAAAAGGTTCACTGAGCTACACACAGAGAGCTGCAGCCTTGTCGATTAATCTGCCAAAGGTTCATAAAGTTATAACTGGTCTTTTTTAAAGAGCTACAGCAACTCTTGGTTGCATATTGTAAAATAATCCTGAGCTAAATAGACATCTCCCAGACCCTGTTTGTATTAATTAACTCCTGATATTGCGGGGGGTTTGTCCCTGTGTCAGTCATGTTGGAACTCAGCAGGAATCTCCAACAAGCCCTGTACTTGTGTTTGATTAGGTGAAAACATAAGCTTCAGTTTAAACAGGTAATATCTACCTCTCTTATATACAGACCCTCCTGTGTGCTCGCTCCATACAAACTGTGACAACACTGCAGGGAGCCGGTGTGTTTATGGTGCAGCGCTGCACTTTGAATGAACAAAGTCAAGTTATTCAATTTCCTATATGTTGTAAATGTGACTTTACGTCTTCCAGAAGATGATTACACAAGTGTTTTAGACATAAACTGCCTCATCTTGTATGCCAGAAAGAGGTAAAGCCGCGACCCTGCCAGTCACAACCATTGTTAACTCCCACGTCCTTTACCCGTAGCTGCCTTGATTACAGTCTGCGCACGATCACACAAATAATGCACTTCCAACAGCGTTATTAGGATTTGAAACACCACTTGATTGGGCATGATATCATTCTGGCACACAAACAGAGACTCTGCATCAAAAAACCAACAAGACCTGTGGGGCTTAGAGCTGTGGAAGAGTAAGTTTGTCAGCGCGGAGGGCTAGACTTGAACATAAGCTGTGTCATCCAGGGCTGAGAAGAAACAGGGCCCCAAAGAACTTTGATGCACTTATTTTTGACTGAAGATGAAAAAGAACCTGACCTGGTCCAAACGTTTTCAAAATAGTTTCTTGACTTTTTCCTCAGGTTTTGGCCTTATACAGGCAGTATATGGCGCAGCTTTGTGGCCCTGCACTGTTTCCAGTAAAAATAGTGTCACCGTTAACATAAGCAGTTGGAAAAATTAGTTTCAGCTGTTGTGTTCAAATTCTAACCTGCCTTTTTGTTTTTTTTTTCAACTCAGTGCTTACTGAGGTGTCTCCTCCTTGACAATTAGCACACCAGGCTAAAACAGACTGTAAATAATGTCCAATGCATGTGACAGTGTTGTTTTTCTTTCTGATATTCATTAATAAGGCAGAATGCTTACTGGACTCTCGGGGAGGTGGGGGAGTTGGTCTCAGAGGGAAAAGTTGTTCTTTCATGTAGGTCCCCACAGATTTTATCTCATTGTACGCTATCATGCACACAAACGACTTGAGGTAAACAGCTTAGTGTTACCATAGCAATCCCTATTGTAAGCAATGGCAAAAAGCTGCTGTGGACAGAAACCCTCAGCATAAATAATAGTTTAGACAGCTTCCATAAACCATTGAACCATAGCGTGTTCTTCCTTACGGGAAGCCCACAATATTAAATTAGTTTTAAAGCACGCCCTACCTTTAAAAAGAAAAACACTGAATATGTGCTTAAGATGTTTGATAATTCAGTTAGAGGCCCGCTTAGATACTCAACCAGTAGCAGTCCTCCACTCACGCTCCTTAATGTTAACGGAAAATCATACATAAATACTCACTAATGGAAAAAAACAACAGTGTAGGGGTCATTTCCTACAAGGAGCTTGAGATTGCAATGCACAGGAAATCGGTAGTTAAAGCATGAAATACTGAACGCAGTAAACAGAAAAAAAATGACCTCCACTGCAACACCCAAATGACCTCAATCTTCCTTTGTAGAGTATTTTTGAAAAAAATAAAAAAAACTTGACAATTTATGTCTTCCACTTCCTAATAGTTTTTCCAGCTGATTTTTTTTCTTCAAAATTGCTGTCTTCTAAAAGGTGACCCTTTCACCCCCGCCTGCAATTGTCTAACACTAAATTGTACAGTAATGTGCCAATGATATATGGCCTACTCAGAACTACATAATTCCTGAAGTCATTGTTTCACAGAGGAAGCCCGCAATGTAAATACAGTAACTGAGAAAGCATGTGTGGGGTGCATGGGGTGCATTGTCTGGCGACGGGGCAATCTGTAAACTCCTTCAAATTGTATATCCTCTAATGATTCCACAGCTTTGCAAAAGAAAATGAAAACAGGATTTTATGTTGCACCGATGTGATTTACATAATGCTGGCAATGGCTCACACATGATTGTGCTTGGCTTTATGGCTGAGGGAAAATGAAGAGGCTCTTACTCATTGTTACAGAGAGTGTATTGAGTCTTTAAGATAGAACTTTGCTACCTCTGATATCACACATTTTTTGCCTGGTGAAATGGTGTGTCCGTAGCTTAGTATAGTGTATTATCTTAACCACAGCGTGGCTGAGTTAAAATTCAATACAGTTTCATACAAGAAGAAATATCTCTGCTGTGGGGTTGAACTGTTTTCACTGAGTCTCAACTGACAAAGCTTTACATACAACTGAATAAAATCAGAATAGAAGTTAACATGCCTGTCTGATGCCTGGTGATTCTGCTGCTTTTTTTATTTTTTTTGCTCTCATAAAAACTGTGTTACTCACGGTCACCTCCTCCTTGCTTTTTTAAAAGTTATTTACAACTTGATAAAGATCTGGCCTTGATTTTGAGTCTGGAATATGCTGTTGGAAGGTGAACTTTGGTGGCTCTGGAAATAAAGTTAAAGGTACTAGAGTGCAGTTTCTGCCCTAAAAAGGCAGCTCTGGATATGGAATGCCACAGGCAGCTGTTCCTGCCTCATCAGAGGACATGTTATAAAGATAGCCCCACTTGGGTTGAAATAATGCCACCCATTCCTGCCCCAAAGCACACTCTATCATGTTCTATTGTTCAGAGAGGCCGCACTTGGGGGGAAATGTTGACACTGTGCAGTATGTCTTAAAAGTAAAGATTCGAACTACAACATTTTTGTTTAATGTATCTATGTTACTGCCTTGGCTACATCAACAGTAAAAAAAGAAAAACAGGGTATAGAGAGATTACATACATGCCGTATTATTTTCCTTTTAATAAAGTGAAACCAGCAGCCTCTAATCCCACTGAATAGCCAACATGAGAACACAGCTCCAAAAAGCCCAAAAGTGCTCAGAGTTTTCATTCCACATCCTGACAGCTTTAATGCTGTGCAGCCCCCCACTCAGTGGCAGGACCACAGCCTCTTGAGGTGAGAGTAAAGATAACATTTCAGTGTCTCTATAGCACTGTCATGTGAAGGATTATGTAGCCGTGTATTTGCTTCTTGTAGTACCGTAGGGGGTCTGATACCTATCTGCCTGTGCTTTTTTTCCCTCTCCTTTTTTTCCACCACTGCATTGAATTCAGAGCTGACCGAAGAGGTGTGACTTAGAAAGATATGTACAGTATCTCTGTGTGTCCTTCCAGTCTTGTGCTGTTATTGTTAAGTGCTTTTGGATGTTATTAATAGCAGCAGCCACTATGTTGTTTTTCCATTGTGATGTTAAAATCAGTACGAGTTACTGACATGGAAAAGCTGGTTCAAACTGTTACTGAAAGCATGTTCTCGTTTAAAAAACCTGCTTATTGAGTGAATTGTGGCGTTATATATTTCTTAAACTGTTACACAGATAGTTGTGATTTTTAACAACTTTAACTAATCTTACATCTTTTTTTTTTTGTTCCTGTTTCCATCAGCTGAAAGGAGTTTATGCACTGAAACGACCTCAGGAAAATCCAAGATGGCCGCCAAAAGGAAAGGTGGCCTAAAACTCAATGCTATCTGTGCCAAGCTGAGCCGCCAGGTAGTGTTCGACAGCAGCTCCCAGAATGCCGAGGGAGACCAGAGTGTAGCAGAAAACAGTGAGCGTGGCAGTTCCCACTACGATGACAATGAGACCAACTTTCCCGAGAGCTTGAGCCTAAGTCAGAGCCTAGAGGAGGACCAGAAGAGACGTGAGGCTATCGAGAAATGGGTCAACGGCGAGTATGGCGATGAGCCGCCAGGCCCTGAAAATGAACAGGAGCATGAACTCAAAGTCAGCAATGACGAAGACGGCCCTCCTGAGGGCGTGTACATGGTACAGCCCCAAGGCTGCAGCGATGAGGAAGATGATGCAGAGGAGCCTGAGCCCGTAGTGGCGTCTCAGGATGGCAGTTACCATGACGACAAAGAAGCTGAAGACAAGCCTTCAAAAGAAGACACCTACATGCCGCCGAGCAAGACCCAGAGTCGCCAAGCACCTTTCTCCTCTACAGGTACATTTTGACTCTCTGCCCTCTTATCAGTTTCCTTCTGATGTCGCTGCCACACTCTGATTTATACTCGACCCTTTTGATACGTCTTAAACCAACACTACCTTTGCCCTTCAAAACATTCCCCTCTATAGTGTTATGGGGCAAAGGCTTAGATAGAGGGCGGGCCACATCTACATAAGCTTAAGTGTGCCCATTATTGGAAAGAGCCGCTCTAGAGTTACAATATGAATAGCCAGTGACATTATTACCCCAAAGACAGATTCAACTGGCAGGCCGGGGGGGGGGCAGAAACTTGTCAGTGTGTGGTTAACTGTACGAAGAAATTCATAAATGGAGTAGGCTTACAATGTAAGGCCGTTTATGCGCTCTCCCAGCTGCTGTGGGCCAAGAGCGCATGGCAGGACCAGGCTAAGCTTCATATTACACCCAGGATTACATATTGAGTCTTTGATTTTCCCTAAGCTCACTAAACTTAGCCACTGCTTCAAGCTCCTCCATTACATGGAGTTGTAGTCTGCCGTGGAGGAGTTTGAGTTTTTACAGTTGTCAAATCCAAGAGATCAATAAAAGTCAAATAAAGTAAGAAATAGTAAAGTTTGTTGCAGTGTCATATCACACTTATTATTAGCTTCTCACAAACAAGAGTGGCTCCATGTATTCATTGTTGCAAACATGAGCATATTTTAATAAATTCCTTAATACTATGTGTTCTTGTAAATGACTTATAATAACCCCAGTTTAATTGTGACATGACATTCCCACACTATAATTCACTGATTATCAAATAGATAAAGCTGGCACAGACTTCCAACAGTCATTCTGAAGCAGCAATAGTATGTGTCAACAGCACGAACAATCTTTTAAGAAAGTACCGTTTACAGTTATACACTTTGTGACCCTTGAAACTACACGCATGTGCACTATAGGAGAGTGGCCTTTGTATAGCAGATGTTACACAGAGCTGTAAAAAGAAAAAAAAAACATAGCTTGGTTATATGAATAGATAAAGCCTGTTTCACAAACACCCAGAGAAAAAAAACAGCAATTTGTAGGTGAGACCGGTTGTTGCGGTACAAAAACAAGTTTTGTTTTGTGCTTGCTCACTTCAGTTTAACAGTTTTTCGGTCTTTCATGTAGGTTTAGGTATCTACCTCCGAGTCATGTACTCATACTCTTTTTGTCTCCATTTCTTTTTGTTTTCAGCAACTGTACAGCAGTAGCTCTGGCCACACACAGAATTGGGGGCAGGGGCTTCTCAGAAAATGAAGCAGGTTTCATTTCAGAGGCAAATGAAAAAGGCTTTGTGGTTTTAATTAGTCATTTTGTGTTTATTTCATGGCCTTAAAAAAAGCCTGTCTGTAAATATGTATTACTGTTGTGTAGCAGGCCTACACCTTTCCCCCCACTGGCTCCCTTACTACTTTACATCTCACAACAAAGCCAAAGTGTTTGAAGACTGCGGAGAGAGCATACTGCATCAGTTGCAAATCTTGTCTTTAGAGTGTTTTTTTTTTTGCCAGAGTTGCTCTTTGTTGATTGTAACTAGGGCATCTATATTGCCATGTTTCTGCTCAGCTCACAATTAAAACATTTTTTTCCCCCTCTCTCACTCTCGCCACTGTCTTTCAAAGGCTGATGCGGAGTGCACGTAATTATGCATATAAACATAGTGGCTTAATTATCTCTCACAACATCAGTGACAATGTAATTAACAAACATTGCAAGATCAATGAGAGAAACTGCGACCTTCAAAACATTTAACTCCTCACATTGAGGCATCGTGCGGATTTCCTATCAGTGCAAAACCCCAGAATACTTTTCCTAGATAATTTAGATGTCGCATTAGAGCCCTCATAAGCCAGTCAATGGAAAAACCAATGAATAAAAACTATGAAAGCAATGACAGAGATGCTCATAGCGATGGATCAAACAGGCTTGACCATGACTTCCATTTGCAATTCTGGGTTCACTGTAAAAGGTTATTGTTCATTTCAAGCTGTTTCAAAGCCTTCTCTATTTACTGCCTGTTAATTAACTTACCAAACAGCGAGGAAGTCTAAAGCACCGCACAGTTTTGTGTGTGTCAAATTAGTCCAAACAAATGCACATAATGTCATTTATTCAAAGCAACTCTTTATTATGATACCACTGTCCATTTAAACAAAACACACTTAAACTAATTCACTAACATGAACACAAATTGCATTTTAAAACTCTCTTTAAATTATTGTACCATTTAAAAGATTTCCACTATTCAAAACTTTCTCTGACTGAACTCCACTGAAAATGCAGTATGTTATTAAAACATTTTATTAACCATATGGTCTACATTGTGCATGTGTGGTTAAAAACTGACGGCCTTTAGAGGGTATTCAAACTCTAGATTATTCCATATATAGCCACTAGCATGCACCTTTATCATCAGCGACACCTCTGCCTCTCAGTCCTGCGAGAAGAGAAGCTATGCCACACTGATGGCCATGTTTGGTCAGCCAAAAGAAGATAAAATGCCCATCTGTTATCATATCTGGGAGGAGAAATGTGGCCTAATTGCCTCAAATATAGACAAGGCAGGTCTCTGTCGTGTGTGGGATTTTGCTTGCCTGAAGTGTCAAGATTAGGAACCACTTCTTTGTAGATTTTCCAGTGACACCAGAGAGAGTGCAGAGGGAAATGTCAGATGTGTTAGCCAACAGGAGAGAAAATTATGATAGAAAAAGAGAGGTTTATTTATTCATTATTTTCTTTTCTTTTAGGGGGAGGGGGGTGCGTGAAAGCACGCTTTAACCCATACATATTTTCCCATCTGGTGTCACGTGTCATCATTAAGAGGCACCCAGATAGGACTTGAGTAGAAAACTCATTTACATGGTGTTTTAGAAAGGTTATCTCCTGACACTCCTAGTCATAATCCTTCCAAGTCCAGTCATTTGCCTTTCATTGATAGCACGTCACACGGCTCGGCTGATGAATAAAGAGACTCAGCTAATTTTTTGGAGAAGATGATGATAATTCCCCTCAGCAAATAGAATATGAAAAAAAAGGCGCTCCCATGACAGAAACCACAAGTCTCTCTGCAATAATAAGCAATTTACCCTCAAAAATGATGGATGTTTTCTTTAATTTGATACCGACTCCAAAACAGCACTCAATATGCATTAAGTTATTCATAATCAATACAGAATCAACTATGAGCATTTTTATATTGGTGAACAACAATTGTTTTTTTGAGGGGGGGGGGGGGTTAGAAATATGATTCCCATCCAATGATGTAAATTCTACCTTGCTCTTTTTTAAATGTCATACTCGTGTGGGCGGGTCTGCCCTAACTTTAGAGCTATATGATATACTGTGACCTGAAATGCACCTCAACATACAGTAGCAGTAAAAACCAACCAAGCACTAAGGTTGTCAACACATAAATCAAATGCGGAGAATGTTCAGCAACTTACATGTTTAGATTTCTTTCCAGTGATCGTCTATGCCATGTGTTATTATCATTATTATCAGGAAAAACTAAAATTTAAGTGTAGAATTAAATTGCACAGTACTTGTATATACAATATGTCACTCTGTGGTTTCAGTACATGTGAAAACATTGTAGATTTGATAAAATTATCTGTGGCAAGCATGCAGGGATATCCTCTCAAATACCTGATCCATTTCTCTTAAATTTTTCATGCCCTTTTCGATCCACCAGATACTCTTTCATACTGCCCCACCGTGCAGAGGAGCAACCCCAACACAGTGAATGGAAATTTGAGGATTATTTTACATGCGCGCAGGAGAAGCATGGCACAGCGACTGATTTAGCAATAACTGAGAAATCTGAGACAAGAGCAGACATATTTGTGTATTAATTACCCGGGTGGTAGCTGGTATTACTTCTCACCAGCTCATCTGTGCTCTGGTGATTAAAAAAAAGCTTTAAAACACATTTTCAAAAAAGGCTTTGGACCCTGGGCCTGTGCCAAGGAGGAGTTAAGAAGGCCAAAGCTTTTACATTACCCAGGTAAAATTATCATCTGGTGCATTACTAGCATGTCTGTGTTCTGGTATCATGCAACACATGCATGCAGCAAACTCACACAACAGGAGATTTTTGGAATTGAGTTGGATCAGCTACCACAACTGTTCAGGGGAAAGTAACCTCACGAGTCCTTCCTCTCTATTTTCCCCTCACACCATCTTTCACTGCACCTTTTCCTCTCTGCCCATGCTCTTCGTCTATATGCAGAACTTTCCCCCTGCATTGCTTTAAGGCCAAACCATTTTTCCCTTTTCCCCACTCTCTGACCTATTGCACTAACCTGGATGAAAGTTAATGGGCCAGAATTAATCTCCACATAATGCAATTAAACTATACATTGACTATATTTCGCCTATGTCCTTGGGGAAGTTGTCCAATTTAATGGACTCTTAAAATGGAAAGTGATGTTTTAGTTCACAAATGTGTAAAAGGAGGAAATGATTAGTTCTTTTCAGTCTTGAAGGTGACACAATAATCACACAAATTTAAAATATCTTACACCAAGCTTTATAGAGGATTTTATGAATTGCACATTCACAATACATAACATTCATAACATGCAATAACTTCTCAGTAGATAGTCATTTTCAAATCAGTCAGTAATGTTAAAATTTTGTGGGGAAATGTGCTCATGTCATTCATTTCGAAGAAGTTGAATAAATAGATTTCACTCTAAAGCTTCCCTTATGTATTTATAGCTTAACGTGTTTACTAAGAATTAATGCTCTTACATGTAGAATATTTATCTTAAATTTATTTTGATAGCATAACATAACGAGCACAGAAAATCAGAAAAGGGTTTGTTTATTCGGTGTATCCTTTGGTACAGTCACCAGCAAATTCTGCAGGACTGACTTATAGTGCAACCAAAACAGGAAGAGCATTGCCTCAGACTGCTTGTTTGTAGAGACATAAATACACAGACACACAGGTGTTGGAGCTTGCAGTGCAGAATCACTTTTCCTGTTGTTCAATTTACTACAGTTCTGAAATAAAATCATTTCAGTAATAAACATTTATTGTACAGAAAAATAGAGACACTTTAATGTTTGCCTAAAATCTGAGTTGCAAGAGCATTTCATTAATGGGGCATAAATTCTCCACAAAGCTGCTAATCTATTTGTAACTAACATATTTGAACTCAAAAAAATAAATGAATAAATACTCAAATATAGACTATCCTATGCAGCTCCAAACCACTGTGACAGTGTAACAATCAATGGGTTATATTCGTCTCAGTTTCCCTACTCAAAGAAAAAACAATCATACTAATATGCTGTTTTAGCAAGTAAAGACTTAATTACATTAATGGCAGACAGCACCAATGAGGGACTCAAAAGGTTTACTAAACTCAATAAGGGTGCTCCAATCAGGATTTCTGGGGCCGATCACAGGGTCTATTTATTATGTAGCTATATATATATATATATATATATATATTTAATTTTTTTTACCAACATTGTATATTTCATTTTAATTCTACCGGGCCATAAATATATCTGGAAGGCGTTGTGTCATCTGATTGGATCTTCTGATCTGGCCTTTAAACAGACCAACAATCAAACTATTTAGAATGAATATAATCATCATTGGGTGATCAATCAATCACCCTTACTAATTATGTTTTCATCTTAACGGTAGCATCTTTAAAAGGAAATATGTGAAAGCAGTTATAAGAATTTCATATCTAACATCTAACTATCCTTTTTCTCTGCAGGAGAAGCATCAGCCCTGCGAGACTATGCAGCCAACACCATGAATGAATTTTTGGGAATGTTTGGTTATGATGACCAGCAGGTAAGGGATGAGCTGACCAAGAAGATCAGCTTTGAGAAGCTCAAAGCCGCTACCTCAGACCCCTCATCCCTCAGTAGTGAGGAGGCCTCACGGCGTGCCCGCTTCTCCAAGTACGAAGAGTACATTCGCAAGCTAAAAGCCGGTGAGGCCCTACCATGGCCAATGCATGCTTCCCCACCCAAACCAGACGACCTCAACTCAAAACTGGCCCAAGACAAGACCTCTACCATGCTCCAGACCTCTGGGGGTCTCCCAGGGGCTGAAGCACAGATCTACCCCTCCAGCCTAGACCACAAACAGCCAGGAGGACCTCAACTGAGCACTTCTCAGCCACCAAATGCCTCTCACATCCAGAACATGGCGTCCCGAGCCTCCAAGTACGACTTCTTTATTCAGAAGCTGAAGATGGGTGAGAGTCTACAGCAGCAGAACGGTAATGCGTACAAGCGACCCTCCAAGTACGACTTGGAGAATGTCAAGTTTCTGCATCTCTTCAAGCCAGGTGAGGGCAACCCTGACATGGGCGGTGCCATCGCCTTTAAGACTGGCAAAGTGGGCCGCCCTTCGAAGTATGACATCAGAACAATTCAGAAGCTAATGCCAGGAAATCCAGAGGCCTCAATGATGCCCAATGTCCTCGCTACAGCACCAGGGAACCCTGGAGCTCCTGGTGTCCCCGCCGTAGGCACAGCTGGGGCCAGCATTGCCCCAGGGCTCACAATGGACCAGACCGGACACATAAGCTTCAATGCCTCTGACTACCTGAAGTCCAGTTTTTCCAAGACTGACTCCATCACCACAGGCACTGTGTCCTCCGTTAAGTAAGTCTGCTCAAACATATGAAATTTTGTACAAAAAAAGAATTGTGCAAACTTAAAAGCAAGTCATTTAATTCATCACATATAGGGCCACCTAAATGCACTAAAATTTTAGCAGTTGAACATCTATTAGATTTGGTGCAGATAGCATTAAATTTGTAGGTTAAGTGCTGAAATGAGTGTTCAAAACGGTGAAAATCTGTGCATCCCCAAAATGGGCGTGGCCTTAAGATCAGCAGGAGTGAGTGAAAAAGTATTGCACTACAAATCAGTACTGTCTGCACCAACAACTACTGATTTACTCCTTTGATCTTCTTAGTAAGTGTAATTAAAATCTGTTTAGTAGATTATCAGATATCCAACTAATAAACAGAATAACAAAACAAAACTCCTTGGCGGAGTGAACAATAAGGTAATAAAATATACAGAACTTGTGAGGTGCAAGAGATGACAGCATGCATCCCATTGCTTCTTATCGCCTGTCTTATTGGTAATTGTGAGATGTGTGCTTATTGACAAAAAGTATTGTGTGACCTACTGTATTAGTTATGTGCACCAAAACAATGCATACCTCTTAAAAGCCTTCTAATAAATATCACCACCTGCCATTAAAATTCCAGTCTAAACTTTACTGGTGGATTGAAAAGATCCCAAGTTCCAGTGGCACACTTTGGAGCTAATGTGTGGCTCACGTACACTTAACTGCTACTGTGAGTCAGTTAGCCTAACACAAAGGTAATTGCTACCTCCACAGCAGCCAACAGGAATGTAGTGTGAAATAGCGCATAGCGCCCAATAGATCCACGACATGATGAGTTGCGAAGGCACATGAAGTGTTTACTCGCTGTAGCACTCCGTGGAGACTGATTTAGCACAGTCATCGCAAAGTGACTGACTTCTTTCGTTGACTAGGGTGTAACAACTCTCCCTTTAATTACTTTGGAGCCATGACTAACCTCCCAGCGAGTCACAGGGGCCGACTCTACACTGCCTGACGAGTACACTTTAAAGGAAGCAAACGAGGGGTTTGGGGAGCTAGCCCACAGTCATGTGCACTACCAGTAGGAAACAGCTCCCAGAGTCTGTTTGATTGGTTTTGACCTGGTCTCTACTTAGTCAAGACCTATCAAAGACACTGTTCAAGAGCCCTCAGGCATCTCTCCCTCAGGCTTTGGCCTTTGTCAGGTTGGGGCTCAGTGGAGCCGCAAGTTTGGCTAACTGACCCAGTCTGGTGCTTGTGTACAAGGATGAGAGGGGGTGCTGGGGGGGATTGTCTGGCAGCGCATCCTCCCCTCTGGGCCAGATTAACCTCAGGTCATCCCCCGTGTGGAGCTGCTCACATGGAGCTAAATGCCATTTCTGATAGGGAGCAAGCAGAACCAATACTGTGTTATGACTGTCATTTTACAGACAGTATTGCTACCCGCTTGATGGAGGTATTCACATCACAGGTGACAAAAAGCACACAGCGTTCCTTAGCACACCTCTGTAATGTGATAAATTCCTTTTGATTCCCTGTTTTGATTCTGATGGCGCTGATATTGGTACTAAGTCAATAGGTTTATATATGCATTTGAAGCTGCAGTGTTGTCATACATCTTTGTTTGAGTCCAGACTGATTGAGGAATCTTGACATCAGTATTAGAGCCAAGACCCTTAGAGATTATCAGAACAGACCTTTTCAGAGCTTTTCTTCCACATCCCCATTATCCAGTTTTGCATATGAGCGCTCACCAAAATACCCCCATAAAAGATTAATGTCCTATTGCTCCTGCATTTTGCCTTTCGTTGGTTGGGAGACCATGCATCAAAGTGAGCGCCTTCCATCCCTGATTCATACAGCACATGAAAATGCTGTTATGCTACAAGAAAATGTATATTGATAGTCCAAAGTTTGGGAGCGGCTTGTAAGTAAATATTGTGTCAGTTTGTTTTTATTAACAACAGGCAACCCAACCTCACCATTAATCCTGTCTCTTTTGTGTTTGCTGTTGCATTAGGAATGGCCTGCCACCAGATAAACCCGCCAGCGACGACATCAACCTCTACCAGAAATATATTGCCAGGTATGTGAATCCCTCAATGTGCTACACCAATGAAAAAATATACCCAAATCAGAGATGAACCTTTTTTTATCCACTGATGGTGTGTTTTATTCAGTGATGTAACTAGATAGTAGACTGGTATGAGAATGTTCCGTGCGTAAATTGTAAATTGATTAAGAAAAGACTTTATTGTGAAGAATTGTGATAGAATTTATGTGCTGAGAGGAAGTAGAAAGATGAGGGGTAATGAAAGAAATGGTTTGCTGGTAGCTTACTGTAACTGGTTGAATAAATGCTTGTGGTGTATATAGCACTAAAACATTAAGAAGAACATAATTGCTCTGCACTGTTAGCTGTGACTGACACAGAGAGGATATGAGCTTAGACCGGGTTCTTCTTGAGTTCTGCCATTTATTGTTGAACACATGAGGAACTGACTGAGCTAGAAAGTAGTCATTCACACCAACAGAGACACAAACATCAGAGATGGGGAGGTATCTCGAGTTTCAATGGACACCGAACAATGTCCCTCATTCTGGATTCATTTTGAGCCGACACTAGAAAGGTTATTATCACTTGTTTGTTTATTCCATTTAAAAAGAGAGAAAAACAGCATTTGAAAAGCCAAAGTGGCTCTGGCGTTAATGATTACTTCTCCAAGCCATAACATGAAGGGCACAAATCAAAGCCTTGGCACTGACAGACACACACACATACACACACATCCTCTTATGCACACACATACACACGCGCACACACACACACACACACACACACACACACACACACAACACACACACACAAAACCCCTTCCTTGGACTGATTACATTTTGCAAGAAGATTTAATTAAGGAATTTTTAATGAGGCTTCTGCTGGCACTGCCAAGAACTGTTTTGATATTTGCGCTGCATAATGCATAAAATTTGTCTAAACATCTCGGCAGTTGATGCACGGGGAGGCTGCAGATAAGCCCAGATACAGTTTCAATTTCCGTGTTGGGGTTGGGAAAAAAAGAGAAAGGAAAGACGAGGAGGGAGGAAAAAAATGGAAAAGGAGGGCTCATAAAAAGGGCAAATGTAGCACCAAGAGGGGAGGTAGAAGTGGGGGAGGGGTGCTCTTCGGAGCTAGGGCTAATGAGTGCACATTAATACCAAAAATCAGCTTTGTAAACATGTTCGTACTCAATCCTCATAAAAAGACTAAAATCATCTCCTGACCACACTGCAGTTTGATGTTTTAAAGAGCTTCCCTCGTACTGTTTAGTTGCAGTTTTCACTCTTTAAATGCTTTCGTGCACCCACTATTGCCTCGGCACTTTGATCTGTGTATCTCTATTGTAACTGGAGATGCACTGCAATCTCTGTATTGTGGCGATATTAATATTTAATCTGCTGCTGAATAGCAGCGGCCCATTAGGCCCCCTGACGCGGCAAGTGGGAATTGTCCAGAGGCAAAGTGATACAGCTGGGCAATGAGCAGAAGGGTGGGCCATAGTCTCAGGGGAAAGTAAATGTGTGTGTGCATGTGTATTTATGTAAAAGAAGAGTATAGAAAACACTAATGGTTGGGATGTATGTATGTATGGTTGATTGTGCGAACACAAGTAGTTCGGCTTCTGATTTTGTCTTTTCCAAAAGAGCCATCAAACCTTCCACAAGCCCCCTTTACCTTCATCACCATCTTCCAGACACACACACACACACACACACACACACACATATACACTCGCACAGCCAACTTAAAAAGAGTAGTGGATATGTCGTTCAATTAGCTTAATGAACTCAGCAAAGTGATCTGTAAATGCAGCTCTGGGATAATCTTAACAAGGAAAAAACAGAAAGAGAGATGGAAAAAATATTACTTAGCCCCCTTTTCCCCCTCTCCTCTGCACTAGCAGATGGAGCTCTTGGCAGCAGCAGTGCAAATGTTTATTTGTGTGTTTTCACTGGTAATTGGAGGATTTTAACAGTCATCATCGTCAGGCTTATAATCACCACCGTAAAAGTGGCTGTACTGTAGCAAGCAGCTGCCTTTTTTTTAACTAGCGGCAGACTAAAATCAGTTTTTTGGACTCCAGTTGAGAAAGTTAAAGGGTTTGGGGCGAAAAGTAGACAGAGCTGTTCCTACATCTCAGGATACACTCGCAGTTTCCCTCACAGAGTAAAACTGTGGTTAACCTGAAAGAACTGTGCATTGATTTGACAAGGGTTTTCACACCGTTGAGAAATAAAGTAGTCATGGGGTTCCCGGTCCTTTGAGTGGGTGTGTGGATGCGTGTCAAGGGAAGGGGTTTCAGTGTAATAAGTGTCTCTTACGGCTGCTTTGGAAATAAATGGAGCTAATTTGGCTGAAATTGGTGTGACAGACGGTTAAATTGTTGCAGCAGTGTGGAAAGCAGAAGTCAGTTTGAAGGTGTGAGCTGTTACTTTGAAGGTGAGACGAGCATAATGCCTTTGAAAACTCCTTCACCTGTTTTATTTTGTGCTGTTCCTGGTATTTCAAATAATTTCTTCACTAATCATTTTTGATTTGCTTTTGATTACTTTTGAATGACATCTTTCTGAGCTGTTTTATCATCCAGCTTCTTCATCCCTGTGACTGTTCTCTGTGCGATAAGCTCTGATGTGTTCCCAGGTTTTGAACCAGCCCTTGATGTTGTTCTATTCACTGCTCTGCGTGGCTGTTAAAATGTGTCCTGGAACTCGGTTTTCAGGTTCTCTGGAAGTCAACACTGTGGACACGTGCACTGTGCCTACCAGTACAGAGAGCATTACCACTGCATGGACCCTGAGTGTAACTACCAGGTGAGCGTGAGTACTTTATCACTTTTTTTGAGCATCATCCAAATACACACATTTTCACCTGTATGCTGCAAACTTTAAAATAACTTCCGTGCCTCACAGTTCAGATTCTGACACAATGAGCAAAATATGTGTTGTTATTCTAAGTGTCTGACAACATTACAGAACGGATCCCAACAGAGACAGACCTTTTTGTGAAAGATTGAGATGACTTACTCATGTTTCCGCCATCGTCTTACTGCAACAACTGATCTCTTTCAGAGCAAGACTTCTTTTTCTGATTAAACAAACCGGATCTTACTCTTTAACAAAAAAGGTCTGTCTCTATAGGAGTCCTTAGAATTTCAATCTGAATACTTTTGACTGCCTCAATTACCCGCAAGGATTACTTTGCAGCTATTGCAGCCCGTTTCTCGGCTGAGGCGATCTACTGGACCAACTATAAAACTTTTTGCATCTAATAGTCATTTAAACACCAAAATTTGTAAAATATGGCCCAGGTTTAAAAGTACTCGAATTACCCTTTAAATTGCACTGTTTTTTCATAACAAGTTTAGGTTAGGTGACCTAGAGCTAAGCATCTTCTCTTTCTACAATGTATGTAAGTAAGAATGGCGTGATCCTACGAAAACGTCTCATTATTATATATTTTCATTAGCGGTCACACCCAGCCAAGTCTATGCAAATGAAAAGTTTGTTAGCCTTTGATCTGCCGAACAGGCTATGGGTGTATACATCCGTTCAGTTTGCAGGCATCTTCCAGGCACGGTTGGTCTTTGACAGTTGGCCTTTTATCACAAGGGTTAATTGTAAATATGCTTGAAATCTGACTCTTTATTTATCTATGTGTTCTTTTTTCTAAAGACATCTGCCACTGACTGGGGGCCTGCTTTTAATCCCCTTTCGCGTTATTAATCTTGTCCTGGTCCCAGGAGTTGTCATGTATGGCACAGGAAGGAGAAAAAAACACAAAGCAGATCATAATACAGGCCTTGTGTTTGCTGTAGCATATGGCCTGACAGAGTTAGACAAACACGGGAAGATTTGTCAAAGATGTCAAAAATCCATGCGATACTAGAGCTGTGTGTTTTTTTTTCCTTCCTTTCTCAACAATTTTCTGAATTAAGCCATCTTCTTCAGCTGTAATCTCCTTTGTCTGCTCCTGATCAAGAGAGATTAACGCTCGATAAATATTGTTTATGTGGTGAAAAGCATTACAGATCTAAGCTTTCATTTTCTGCATGAATCCCACTTCACAGTCTGATAGGAGACATTCTTGGAGGAATACAAAGGAAAATCATCTCATGTCATTATTTAGAGTGTTAGTTCAGGTTATCATGGCAATTTCCACGGTCAGGTCCACATTTCTCTGTTGCCTTTGCGTTGCGTGGAAACACAGATATGCTTTGGAAGCCAGCTCTCTGGGATGTCAATACCCTGAAAAAAACAAGCAGGCAGTGATGAGCAGCCCCTTTCGAAGCGATAACTCATGAAATGTTACATGACACACTCTCCTGGAATATTATCCCACTGCCAGCCACCGGGCAATTGGCTGAGTCTTAACATTCTCCTTTCATGGGCTTGTACATGAGGGAGAGTGTGCATCTTGCCACACTAGTGGGAATCCTAAAATAAATGTAGCAAGTGGCTCCCAACCTTCATCACCACTCAACTGAAAATGAGATCTTTTTCCCAGTCAGCTCTCTCCACGGCCTATTTTGGATGGCTTGATGGATCGAATGTACCATGACCGCAGTTCAACTTATCTTCCGGTCATCATTAACCATTACATACGAGGAGGCTCAAAGCCCAGAACTGAACTCACGATTTTTCAGGGAAAATTATTCAAAAAGCAATAACTCCAAAGCACTCATCAGTTAGATTAAAATCCTAATGAAGTGTTTGCTCCTACAGGAGTCAAACATTTCAGAAATATGCAGTGGGAAACAGGCCAAAAGCAAGGGAATAACAGCTGTGTGAGATCTTAGCTTTTCACTTGTGAGCGAGTGGAACACATGACACAAAGCAATTACCCTACTTTGTACAGCAATTAGTTGCTTTTTAGAATAGTTCTTTCTGATGTTTTTTCCCTCAACTGGAGATAAATATGGATTGAAGACAGAACTGTCTCATTGATTTGCACTTCTCCTGTTACAGTTTCTGTAACATCAGCTTAAGCCCAATTACAGCAGATTTGGTTGCTGCAGGTCTCTGTGGAGTGACTTTCCTTTTTCTTCCTGACTGCTGGTTGTGGGAGGGATTCTTATTTATTTATTTATTTTGTAATTTTAGAAGGCGGGTCTCTTAGCATATTTGCTCATGATTACAGACGAAGCCTTCACCAAAAGCGTTAATGCTTTAATTAAAAATGGAATCATATCTCAGCGAATTGAAAGGGAAAACGTTTTTTTGGTTGGCTTGTTTGTTTGTTTGTTACTGTTGTCTTCTGTTTTCCCCTGTGCACGTCTGAGAAACCATCTGCATGGAACATAATTTTTCCAGAGCCAGAAACATCAGAACTGTGATCTTGCATGTCAATTGATTCATCTTAATTAAAAAAAAATACATTTTGTGGAAGAGAAAAAAAAATGTAGAGACAGTGGGTGTATGGGGAACATATTTCATGTTCCATGTGGAAGCTTCTCCAGTACTCAGAAAGTCTTTGGTGCTGCCTTTGGATAGGACACAACTTTGAGATATGCAAAATAAATCAATAACCACAGAATGCATCATCTTTAAATCTTTAAAGGCATTCTGGCCTCTCCATTGCAGTGTGTACAGCCCTCCCCAGTTGCCAATTGGCTCCTACATGTTGCACCTGCTAATTCCACAGAGATAAAGTGACTTGTTGCTGATTCTGTGTCTGGTTTATATAAACACCAACCTGTTGCTGTACATATTTTCCCCTCCCCTTTTGCAGAGGTTTACCAGTAAGCAGGATGTAATCAGGCACTACAACATGCACAAGAAGAGGGACAACTCCCTGCAGCATGGCTTCATGCGTTTCAGCCCTCTGGACGACTGCAGTGTCTACTACCATGGCTGCCACCTCAATGGAAAAAGCACCCATTACCACTGCATGCAGGTACACTACAGACTCACACCTCCTCCTCCAACCTACACACACGCCCACAATAAAACCACAAACACATACAGTAAGCATGCATACACACAAATACACACACACACACACACACGGAAACAACAAACACGTTTGCAACTACCACCACACGTGCTTAAGTGTTATGTACAATACAAATAACCCACAACTCACTTATGCTGATAAAAAATGTGAAATGCAGTGCAGCAGATGAATGCATAATTCATCATTCAGTATACATCCCAGAGCCCCACAAGAAACGTGGCTGTTAGTAAACCAGATCACACACAGTCCACATAGAGTCTAAAGCCTGGTTGTGTGCCCATGAAGAGCCAAACTACTTTTTTTTGTAGAAGTGACATCATTAAAAACAATTTAAAACAGGATACGGCAGGTAACAAAAGTAGTTGCAGAGCATCATGATATAGATGATCTCCAGGCCACTCATAAGACATACTGGAGTTCAGGACGTTTGAGAGTCACACAGTTTACCTACGTCTGTGAAATGGAATGGCAGTTCCACACTTATTTTTTCTTTTACACCAAAGTGTCTTTAAAGAGCAGTTTGGCAAAACGTGTCCTAAAGTAAATAAATTGAAAGGGGGTGAACGCACGTGAGGCTGCTTGTGCTTTCCCCACCTCTTCGTTCTCTCGCTCCTTAATTGGCATGGATAAAATTCAGTTAGGTGTTTATATAAACTACACATTTTTCATCTTTTAGTACCAAGCAGCCAGTTGAAGATTATTCCCCCTTCTGGATTTGTTTAATTTTTTACATCTGCTTATTTTCAATGTGTCATTGTGCCGAGAGCTTTCTCACCGGCAGGGCAGCAGCACAGCGGAGGATGGCTTGAGATATATTCTTTTTTAAACCCCACTAACGGCGTAATTGTTATTAGGACATTTCAGTCCTTGTTTTAACAATCCCTGAGAACCTGCAGATGTTGGCATCGGCTCTCTTGATTTAGGGGGGAAAAAAACAGAGTGACATTTTTTTCATTGTTTGACTCAATATGGAGAAGTTGCCCGGTTTGTACGGGTGAAAAGTGCCAGGGATGATATACAATTGCTGCTTTTAATTCAAACATTACCTGTTTTTTCCCCCCCTCTGTTGGCTCTGAGGGCTCCTGAGTACCAGAACATGTCAAACTAAAGACCAAGACTGTCATCTTGCTCCCATCTGCTTTCCTCTGCCCCCTCCACCTCTAAACAATGTTCTCAGAGTTACAATAAGTTTGTGGTGACTGCATCGTCACGTTCCAAATATAAATTTCATTTTCTAAAATGCAGCTTTTCCAGGAAGGTACTATAGTTTCAGCTGCCTGCTGTGACCACTGCCTCTTTCTGTAATTTTGTTTGTGTTCTTTTTCCAATTGTCAAAATGACAAGATTGTTTCCAATTCACCGGTTTGACTTGAAACTTGTATTGCTCTAGTGCGCATTACCACAAAAAATTGTGAACGTGAGAAAACAACTTTCTTCCACCCATTTCTAGGCCACTAGCATTTTCTTAACCACACTGAGCATCTTTCTCTATACCATGAACAGTATATCACATGTCTTTAAAGCACCGCATTTTAGAAGTTGGCTTTTTTCAAACCATTCATGCAAACTGAAACTCTCATGTCTGGTGTGGGCCCAGATCTTGTTTTCGATTACCATGCTTTGTCTCTGCTTTGTAGGTGGGCTGCAGCAAGGTGTACACCAGCACCTCAGACGTCATGACCCATGAAAACTTCCATAAAAAGAATGCCCAGCTGATCAACGATGGCTTCCAGAGATTCCGTGCAACTGAGGACTGTGGCACAGTCGGGTGTCAATTCTACGGGCAGAAGACTACACACTTCCACTGCAGGTGAATAGAGGGATGTTTCACTACAGGATTTTTTTTTTTACATTTGTAAAACCTACATTAAGCATTAAAAATTATTTTATTTGGGATTAATTTTAAATAAATTATATTATTAAAATGTCGTACATTATGAACAAACATGTGCTGTAGCTACAGAGGCCCTTAATAGCAGGTTACATAAAAACAAAAGCCAACATACCAGCAGAGGAAAATAGGGAATATAAACACATTCCTTATTAACAAATAAATAAATGATGACTACTAATGACGTCCTTGTTTTTTGGTCTGCACCATAAGTGTTTTTGTATGTCATAGTGAAAAAGAAAAATGTAAAGTAAATTTTTTTTTTTAAACTACAACATAAGAGCATGCACTACAGATTAATCAAACTCTCTGGAATGTATTCCTCTGGCAAAGGTTGCAGGTGGCGACGTGTCAATGAGCTGCTGCTGTGTTACTTAACCGCCTCAGTTGTCATTCCTCCATTGTGAAGTATTTGAATCATGTGGACCCTCTCCATGACTCCTGACTCCTGACTACACCGAGGCACAGAGGTGGCTTTGTAACCGAGCATCACAGCTAATCATGTTTTCAACTTCCTTTTTCCATTCTTTTTTCAGGCGCCCAGGCTGCACATTCACCTTCAAGAACAAGTGTGACATTGAGAAGCACAAGAGTTACCACATCAAGGATGATGCCTACGCCAAAGATGGCTTCAAGAAGTTCTATAAGTATGAGGAGTGCAAGTACGAGGGCTGTGTGTACAGCAAAGCCACCAATCACTTCCACTGCATCCGCTCAGGCTGCGGCTTCACCTTTACTTCCACCAGCCAGATGACCTCCCACAAGCGCAAACACGAGCGCCGGCACATCCGTTCCTCCGGTGTCATGGGCCTCTCTTCCACTTTCCTGGCGCCAAAGGATGAGCCAGAGGAATCGAGCAACGATGATCTGATGGACTTCTCCACCATCAGCAGCAAAAACTCCAGCCTGAGTGCCTCGCCTACGACCCAGCAGTCCACCACTGTACCGCACTTGTTGGCCACACCCACCACCTCTGTTTCCTCCTCTACATCGAGCCACACCCTCAAACCTGCACCTTCGCTGCCCAGTGCGGGCCAGCGTATGTCCAGCCTGCTGTCCCAGGCCCTGCCCAGCAACATGCCGGTGGCCCTTGCTCTTTCCAACAGTGCACTGGCCACCTCCAACCCGTTCTTCCCCCTAATGCCTAGGCTGCCTCTCCAACCACCTCCGCCAGCCGCAAGCCTGATATCAGCCGTATCTTCTGGGGCCCACTCCATGCCCACCGACTCACTGACCCAAGGTTGCTCCACACTGGGGACAGACGGAGCCATGGCGTCTACCCCAACTTCCTTCGCCACCTCTTCCATCATGGAGAAGATCTCAGCAAGCAAAGGTCTGATATCACCCATGATGGCCAGACTGGCAGCTGCTGCCCTGAAGCCCTCCAACAACCCAGACACAGGTGAGTCACCACTGTACATACTTTGTGTGGATGCTAACACAATGGAAAGTAGTAATTTGTGCTCAAACAAAGAAAGGTCATATTTTAAGCAAAAATATTTTTGCTTCTTAAATGTGCAGATTTTCTGCTTTATATTATTGTAGATTTAATACATTTTGTGTTTTGGACTGGTGCTGAGACAAAACAAGCAATTTGAACTATTAATCAATGAATATAAAAATAACGGGCACAGCCCTGGTAATAGTTCCCTCCCCTCTTGATTAGTAATGTAACTGAATCAATTGAACACCCTAGCAAATTATAAACACATAAATTAATTGGTAGTCAATTGTAAACTTTAGCTGCAGTGTACATGTAGTAGACTGCATGTACACTAAAAACCACATCCCTTTTTTTTTCTGTGTGTTGACTTCTCTCCACTACAGCCAGAGAAGAGAGAGTGCACTCAGAGGTCATTTCTGTCACTATCCCACAGTGGAGAGAAAGGCAGAAAAACTGCCGCTTTCAGGCTTAAAGGGACATACCAGAGGCATGGTCCTCTGCTCTGGGCTTGTTATTGTGTTGATCGTTTGTTAGATACCCACAATCCATTTGGAGATAAATGCGCTGACAGGGGAGAGTAGAGCCTGTAAAAGTCTCTTATGATGTTCGGAGTGGGGGCTCCTGGGGCTTGTGTCGAACATGTTTCCTCATCATTGGTCTCTTATCTGTGTCTGCGCTCGTTCCAAGCAAATGGAGGTGGAATGAAATTAAGTTCAGAAATTGCGAGAACAAAAAAAATGTTGGTGTTTTTTTTTTTTCTTTCTTTTTCCGTATCCTCTATGCAAACTGATAAAAAAAAAAAACAGAAATCGCTCAGGCAGAAATGACTCAATGCACCAGAGCTGAGAAAGAGACTTTTTTTTCACTGATACAAGAACTCAGACACACTTGCATGCATCAGCAAAGACACACTTTTTGAATTTCTAGAAATCCTCTGTTCCCACAAAAACATGTCAGTATCTATTTAGCATAAACACAGTTCACATAAATTTTGGAGGTAATTGCCTTGTCTATGTTTATCATATTGCTCTAAACAAAGCTTATGAAAATGAAGTTAAAGCATTACATTGATAATGCACTGCAGAGCACAGTCTTGAATTCAGTAGCAGTGGGGCCTCCCGTGCTGAGCCTGAGCAGGTGGGGTGCGGATTTTAAATGGGGCTGCAAGGGGGAGCATCTCCGGATGTTGGGACTGGGAAGGATTACAATTCCTGGTGGTGTTCCTGGAGCAGGACAGGCCCTGGGAGAGAACTGGGGCAGCTGCTCCGGGGAGCCGAGCTGAGCCCAGGCTGTCAGGCTGAGCTCCACCTCTGGGCTTCCAGCAGGTAGTCTGAACACTGGGAAGGCCCCCACTGAGGGTGGGGCCTCCACAGATGGTGCCTTCACCACCCCTCTTGTTGTCTCACTGAGAGGCGGCATCTCAGATCTCTCTGCAGGATAACAAAGCTGATTTGAAACAAGCTCCCCTATCTCAATCACATTCTTGTTCGTAAAAGTTCATTGCAGATACAGGATGGAAGGGTAGCTGCAGTTTTGTTTCTCATATTTGCCTCATAAAATGTGTGAACAGGACATTTGGGGCTAAAATGAGGAGGAAGTGGTTTGTTCTTCTCTGTCAAAAAGGTGTGAGAAAAGTCGCAGTGTTTGTGGCTATTTTTCACAGTGTTTATTTTATCATGGGGTTGTGAAACTTCATCTCTATTGTGGTAAATTGTGCATTTTTCCTCTTTCTGCTTTCAGTATTTTCTCAGTATTTGTTTTTTAAATTAATGTTCTGCTCTAATTTACCCCTAAGTGCTTTTCCCAGAGATTCGAGCATCTGAAGGGTTTACTAATTAGACACACAGTACAAATGATCTTTCACAAGCTCTGTATCTTATCCGGAGTAATTACATGGTGATACATTATTCCTGGATAATTTCCAGAAAGAAGCTGCTTTGAGTCAAACTCATTTGTTCTCCCTCTTTGGGAAGAGGACAGAAAAAATAACTTCATAATGTGCAACAAAATAAGAGACTTTAGCATTATAATCCACCTTAAACAGTCAGTCTATCCTCTGTGTAGTGAAGGAATGCTTTAATCTGCCTGATGATCATATGTAGATCATACAGTGAGTGGCTGCTCTCGATGTAATGTGCTCTCATTTGGTTTGAGAGTTGATTTAATTGTCAATGACAAGGCAGGATCTGTCTGGCTAGTTAATTTTGGGTGTACTCTTATTAAGTTGGGGGGAGGGAAGGCGCGCTGGGCGGAGACTTGGTAAGCACGCGGTGACCTCAAACCAGACGTAAAATTGTTTGACTGCTGTTTTTCTTTAGCTCCCGCCCCAACCCCACCTCCAGCCCCTCCAACCTCAGCCATTGTCAAACTGAACTGACACTGACACTTCCCCATCTCCTAGCTTTCAGCTGACAAGGCCCAAGACTGGCTTTTCCACTCCTATTCTGCCTGATATGTCTCTGGGTCATCTTGTAGGGGGGGGGAATTTTGGTCGATTTCCCCCTTACGTAGGCTGATCTCGTTTTCTCCCAAGCAAGAAAAAGGAGAGGGCTTCACCAGGCTGAGGGCCAAGGGCACACACTTGGTTGCCCATGACCTTGCCTGTCACTATCCCTCATCACAAGCCCAGATTCCTAAAACAAACAAAAAAAAAAAAGATTAGACACCAAACCAATCATGACCGCTGCTGCTGCTCTCCACTCTTACAGTGTCTGAGAGGCTACACCAGGGTCACCCCTCCCACTCACATATTTTAAAAAAACACCACTTATTGTCTACTGAAAGCCCAGCTTTCTCTGTGTAGCCCCAGGACAAATTAATATTTCAATCCCTTGTGGATTGGGGGGTGGGGCAGAATTCACCTTCCTGTCAGCATTTTTACCCAACGTCATCCCCTGGTCTTTATTTATTTCATTTCAGCGCTCCTGTCCTTGCTCACAGCATTCGCTGAATACCTATTTGGAGAAGAATGTGATCAAGAGGTCACGCTATTTGAACCAATCTGATTGGCTGTCAGCTCCAATCTGACCAACATAGCACCCCTGTTCCTTGTGGGTACGCTCAGTGGCATTGACTGCCGTCCGTTGTCAGGCCAACGAGGAGCCTGGGAAGGTGGGAATGAGGGGGGGTTGGTGCAATCTGAGACTGCCACTTTCCCTCAGCATTAGCATCTCACTTAATGACCAGTTAAGAGGCAGCCTGGCAAATGAGTTGTGACAAGTCCTGCAGAAAAAGTAGTCTTTTTCCCTCATATCTCCTGCCTCTCAATCACCATTTAAAAGGCTTGACGGCCTGACATAATTTTGCAATAATTATCACTCGGAGTATTCTTTTCGGGACAGGACAGAAGTCAGATTGGATCTCGTCATAGCATAATAATGCTGACCAACAATAACTTCTCTCCTCTGCGTCTCTGACTTGATCCTCAGGGAATGGGCAGCTGACTTCAGCCAGCCAGTTCAATCTGGTTCACGTGAAGCAGGAGCCAGTGGACGGCAACTCTGGGGCCTCTCAAGACTCCACGCAGGAGCACAGTCTGGACCTGAGCAAAAAAGACCACAGGTACACCGCTGCATGGTCCATAGAGGGTTAAGGCTAAATGGAAAATGGTGATTCTTGTTGTAAATTCACATAATATATTCACAAAATAAATCAACAAGGAAATAGGGTTTCTCTGATTGATAGATGATTTCTACAGTCTTGGCAGCAAGGGCTATATTTGCAATTATTTATCAAAATATCTCATTTATATACCTGTACATATAATTATAAAATCCACAACATATTTCTCCATTTTTGTAAGAGAAGGATGTTTATTTAAACCTTCAACTCCAATCTTCCCTCCAACTCACAGTAGATCTTATTTCTTAAGAAGACAGCATTTTTCTTCTTCATTATACAGGCACACCTTGTATGATAAATAGTAATATTTACTGTTCTCATGCAAATCTTGACTAAACATTGTTCATTTTCCTTGTTCCAGTAATGAATCAAACGGACACCCTGTACCAGGGAATACATCTCTTTTATCCTCGCTTATGAATAAGGTAAGATCCATCCATCAAATGCCTTTCATCCCAAGACAAATTAGTGGGACACAGAGGGGCCTGTTTGTTTTTTAATGTTTCACCGCTAATAAGATGAGTTTGTATCATTTAAATGTTCCAGCCATTTTTCATACAGTGTAATTTTCACTGCACCTCTCACAAATTAATATAATGAAGCAGTAGCTGGGTGCCATGCCAGATATATAGAGATGTTTGTTTTTTGATGAGCTGTTTTGAACTCGACGTCCATTTTTTCTCCTCCTTTATACTTTTTCTTCCCCCGCCTCGCTCTGCATTTATTTATAGAGTTTGTAAATTATTTGATTAAAAAGTCAGAGGAGTAAAAAAAAAAATAACAGGAAGGCGCTGCCCTCATTTTTTAACCAAGTATAAATGTTAGCGTATGGAAATTTGAATGTGTAAATTTTTTGTGTGTTTTTGTGAAGATTAAAAAGGACATTGTCTTAATGATACATCTTATCTGATTGATACAAATTTGCCTGGTGTTTCCATCACATTAATGAAGTAATGACAGATCAGCCTCCATCTTTTTACCTTCGCAAACTGGTCATGACTCCTTCCTCCCTCTCCCGCAACGCTTCCGCTCCACACAAGGACAAATCTTTTTAGAGCTCAATTTCAGTGTTGCTCTCCTCACGTAAAAGCCTGGATGTTTGTTAATCTGGCTTTTTTTGCTTCACCAAAACATTTGTGTGGGTGTGTTAACTCTCACACTGTCACTAACATATGCAAGTGCCCAGCCAGCGTACGTATGTTCAGCTAACCCAGCAGCTGGTTGTTTATGTGCTGTGTGTTTTGTAGATGTCACAGGTGAACCCTGCCCTTTTCAACGCCATGAACCTGAAGACAGAGCTGGAGGCAGGCCAGGGCAGCAATGCCTCGGAGGCAGCACATTATCTGAACAGAGTGCTAAAGAGGCCCGTGCCAGAAAAAGCCAGTGAGATCTGGAGGACATATCTCCGCAGGTATAAAACACACTGGAAGAGCAGGGAGAAACCGTAGCTAGACTGGACACATTCATTTTGATAGTGAGAAAACAGTCAGCGTGTTTAAAAGTACTGTACATAGGAGGTATTTTTCTATAAATGCATACTGTTATGGAATCCCCCCAAAACAAAAAAGAATCCGGGAATTTGAAATGGCTTACAGTACGCCGGACTTACAGCATTTACTGGCAGATGAGGAGTTGAACCAGTTTTCCTCTTATTATTTGTTGTTTATTTGAGAAGGCAGTAAATTAACAGTCTTCACTATCTGTCTACTAAAAGGTTTGACACAGATGACTTCTGTGAGGCTCAGTGTGACTTCCTCCAGAAAGTGCATTTTCACTGCATGGTGGAGGACTGTGGTGCTCTCTTTAGCACTGTGGATGGGGCCATAAAGCATGCGAAGTGAGTCTCATTCTGGTTCATAATCAGAAAATAAACCCTTTCCACATGTTAGCATTTGGCTTTATTGATCAACATAAAAATGAGGTTCATCTTGGTTTTTAGCTTCCACCTCAGAGCCACATTGAAAGTGAAGTCTGAGCCTCAGTTCAGTGAGGGCAAGGACTCCGGTGAGGGAGCTCCTCAGCAGCCTGCTGCCCCCGTCTCTATGGCCAACAATCCCTCCATGGATGTGGCACACCTTACCTCCTCCGGTGGCTACAGCTCTCCTCCTCCCTCCCTGCTGGCCTGGAAGCAGCTGACCGGCAGCATCCCTCAGATGTCGGCCTCAATGCCCAACCTGCCGGCCAATTCCCCTCTGGCCACCACCTCTCTGGAGAATGCTAAGCCACAAGTCAAGCCTGGTTTCCTGCAGTTCCAGGAAAAGTAGGAGAAACATTTATTTGTGTCTTATTATATTACAGTATGTCTATTTCCCTCTTTCGGCAAAGTGTTGATTAAACTGTATTTTCCATTTTTATTCATCCAGCGATCCCTGTTTGGCTACTGACTGTAAGTACTCAAACAAGTTCCACTTCCACTGCTTGTTTGGGAATTGCAAGTATGTGTGCAAGACGTCTGGCAAGGCTGAGTCCCACTGTTTGGACCACATCAACCCCAACAACAACCTGGTCAATGTCCGTGACCAGTTTTCCTACTACTCTCTCCAGTGTCTCTGTCCCAACCAGGTGAGCGCAGCTTGATCTCTCTGCCAGGAGCCGAATCACCCACTGTCATCTCCCAGCCTTTTCTAAGCATGAAGTATGCTATCTATTAGACCAGTGTTTGAGGTTATTTGACTCAAGGCTTTCACAACCGCTGCTCCCTGTCTTCCATCTCTGCTGAAAAAGACAGTCGACTCACCCCAGTAATGCCTGTTTATATGTCAATGATGTCATTTTGACTGCCGCATTCTCCTCTCAGAAAAGGCCAATTTAGCTGATATTACCCAATAAATCATTGTCACTTGCACAGTAAACAAGGCTGTCTGGAATAGGGCAAAAATCAGGGGAATGCTTCGCAAATGAAACCTAAATGGCAGCCCCTGCCTGCTCTCATGAGCCCATATTTGGAAAACCGTTTAAATGAATTCATTAATGTGTCGAAAATCACCCCTCTCTCTCTCCCTCCTCCTCCTCCTCCTCCTCCTCCTCCTCCTCCCCTTAGTCTCCATCTCCTGAACTGAGCAGATCTTATTTGGCCCAGTCCTTTGGGATCTGGGCCTCACAAACAGATGGTGGTGTACAGACATGTTAGAAAGGAGGAGTGTTTGTGGGAAGCCTGGGAAAAAAAAAAAGAAAAGAAGCCATCATACTTAGAAATGTGGGATGTTCCAAATGACCACAACGGAAAAGAGGCTGTGAGGTGTTGATTATGTTTTTGGAGAATCAGTGTGTAGTGTTCACTTTAACTTTGCACACAAAGTCCTTAACTCCTTTTGGCCTTCAAACATTCACCACATTTGACTCATGAAATTGGAAATGATGTGTTTCTTCTGCAGCACTGCGAGTTCAGAATGAGGGGCCACTATCACTGTCTGCGGCCTGGCTGCTTCTTCGTCACTAACATCACCACCAAGCTGCCATGGCATGTCAAGAAGCACGAGAAGGCAGAGCGCCGTGCCGCCAATGGCTTCAAATATTTCACTAAGAGGGAGGAGTGTGGGAGGCTGGGTAAGAAAAATGACTCCTGATCCCGTGTTTAGCTTTTGCCTGCTGTCTCTCTTCTTGCCTTTTTATTTATTTCCTCTGGTTCCCTGCATCAACCCACAAGTCCTAAACATACCAACTTTTGATAATATTGTACCAGGAGAGCTGTGTGGATTAAAGGTGTTAAGATGAGAAAGTTGTAGATTGATTTTTGTTGGCTATTGCAAGAGGATATCCTCTGTGTTGACAAAGGGTGTGACCAGTGTTGGCAAACACAGTGCATCGTGCTATGTGTGTTGTTTAAGAGGCCTGATAGGTTTTTGTTGCTGTGTTCTGCATATTCACAATGGCACCTCAAGTCCCAGAGGTAGTCTTGCCTGTACTATATGAGCAATAATGTCAAAGGGGGGCAATCACATCCAGGTTGTTTTCTTCTTCCTTTTGGCCCTGTCAGAAATGAGCAATTAGGTTTGTGTTTGTTAATTATCCGGCTTGTCTGGTTTAGCCTGTTTGTGTTCTGAAGCTGCGCCTCACAGCCACCACTGCCATCACGCAGAAATGAATTAAAAGTGATCTGTTTTTTTCAGGCGGTTACACAAGCTTTTCAGAACGCAGAAACAAAGCAAACAAAAACAGGCCCTAAACAGCTGTTTTTTGTCCCCAGCCTGATCTGCCAACTGTATTGTTTTGGGCTGGGGGGGAAACAGAAAGGATTACCATCGCATAGCACTCCAGTCATAAAGAATTGATGGGTTGCCAGTATCCATGGCAGCAACATTAAACTGAACACTGCTGATGATGTTACCTGGTTTCTGTCTCACAAAAGGCCCTCCCTGTCACGGGGGTTGCTGTTATTTGCTCAACTTTGCGTGTTTAAAACGGTGTGTGTGCAAAAGCTATTTGATGACACAGACGTGTTGTGCTCTTAAACTGGGTGCCATGGTTACTGACATGCTAGCACCTGCCCAGCATGTTACTCTTTCAATTATTTCTGCCTGCTTTTATATAATGGTATTTGATTAACAGGCGCAAAACAGAACAGTCATTTAATTTGAAATCATAAAGCAATTAGAGCTAGACCGGTTAAAACACGGGAAAATAAGAGAATAATACAAAGCAGACAGCAGTACAATGGAGAACAAAAGGAAAAATGACAATGGAGATACTTTGAAAAATGAATTTAATATGGTAATAATTGTATATTTACTTTGGTTTGCAGGGGTGTGTGCATTATTGGCCCACAGAAAATGAGAATTTATTTATGTAAATTCCTAATTGAATAAAGCATGTCAGTGTAATAAAAGAGCTCCACAGGTTTAGTGCACAGAAGCCTTGACTTGCTCAGTGTGACACTGGAGTGATCTAATATTCCTCCTACATGTACACTCTGAAACACTTTGCAACCCGATCCCTCTTTTGTTAGCGCTATATCATGAAATTAAAAAAACCTAAAAATATTTCACTTTGTGTTTGATCTAATCACAACACCGTCTCGCTGATGATATTGCGTTTAGTGCAGGAGCTGTTTCGGAGACGTCTCACAATGAGCCAAAGATAAATTAATCTGCAAATGGAGATTTTACAACTGTTGCTGGTTTCTTTTTGGCAGGTTGCAAGTATAACCAAGTCAACAGCCACTTCCACTGCATCCGCGAGGGTTGCCAGTTCTCCTTCCTCCTCAAGCACCAGATGACCTCACACGCACGCAAACACATGAGGCGGATGCTGGGGAAGAACTTTGACAGAGTCCCATCCCAGGTACAAACACACAAACTGTGACATTTGATATTTGCCATTCTGAGAAGGGTAATTATGTGCAAATAGGGGCTGAAAACCTCAGTGAGCTGAAGCCAAGTATCTCATACACTAATAGGAAATGTATTGTTTGGATCAAGTCTCCTGTTATTAAGGCTCATTAATTTAGTTTTGAACAGTTTATGCCATAAGATGTTTTAAAAGGAACAGATACATTTAAATCAGCACTGTTCAGGATATTTTGTGGTGGTAGAAAATAAAAATTAGGAGAAAATGCAAATGAGTGTTTCACCGCAAAAGGTAATTCTAAGAATAGATTTTCATTTTCATTTTTAGATTTTTATAGTTTTGATTTAAATTTGTTTTTTAATATTATTATTTCAGATCTGGTCTGCCTCTGAAGTATATGTGGCGTATGTACCTGGTTCAGTTTTTTTGATCAGACTTCCTGCTCTATGAGTCAGATTCAGGGAAAAGTTAACTTAATTCGGTAACTCTTATCCTGTCATACCAGTCAACGACAAATCACTCATGACATTCTTTTGAAGACATTTTTCACACTGGAGCGTACTTCATTTCCAAACTTAACCTCAGCGGTACATTATGTACCACACGTGAATTTAAACGTGGATTTTCTTGTTCTTCAGTTTGAAGCCTTCATATAATGACGGAAATGTGAGGTTCATTCTTTCGAAATATTTTTGGTCTTGAGAAATGCTTGGTTTTGCGCCAAGTGCCAACACCTGCATTGATGACACGTTAGGTCCTAAGATGTCTGTTTCAAGTGTCCCTTTACAATGAGGATAATTTGTTTTCCAGGTGATGCCACTCGGTCAGAGGGCAGATGAGATGCAGCATGCATCCGGCATGATGTCCGGGCCCGTAGCGAACCAGTCTGGTATCAACTCCAGCTTCTCCTCCGCCATCATGGATGAGACTGATGATTACATGGACTACATGGTAGGAGGGGGCAGCCCCTTGGGCCTCTCCTCAGAGTCCTCCAACCAGGACCGGAGCTGCACCAGCACACCTCTAGGCAACGATAGTTCTCCAGCAGGTGAGAAAACGCAAAAAAGACCTGAGATGTCTTAAGTGTCAGCATGTCGAGCTTTAATAGAGTTTAAAGTGAATAATGCAGTACAAGTTTTCTACTCCGACATTCAGCATCATACATCATGTTTCAGTCCACACTCATCTACTTTACCCGGAAAACCAGCAACTGGTCATTTCATTCAATCTTCCATCATATATTTCATGATTTAGGAGTTACAATCAATAGCATAATGACACATCAGCCATAATATATGAGGTCGATAACAATGCTGTATTCTTGTTGTTCTGAGCGTGGACATGATATTTTGCACTTTGCCTGGTCATCCCCATAAAACATCCGTTTTATACATCAGCAGTTTGAATTATTGCACTGTATGTAGCTTATTACATTTTTTCTTTGGCCAGAGATCATCCCTGTGGGTTTATGTTTACTTTAGCACTTTTAGTGGGTTGAATTGTGGGAGAAAGGAAAGGAGAAACGGCCACTTTCCCCTCAAACGTAAAAAAAAAAGGATTCTCTTCTCTGCTTTTTTTTTCTTAATCTGAGCCTGCCTGTGATTTTCACATTTCTCCATGTGTTGCCAGTATTATCCACCAATCTCATCATTGTTGTTTTGGCTGGTGTTTGGGTTACTTGTCTTGAATGGGCCTCATTTTGTACCATTCTCTTATCTTTTATCTTTCCCTTTTTACCTCCCATCCCTCTGTGTGTGTGTGTGTGCGTGTGTGTGTGTGTGTGTGTGTGTGTGTGTGTGTGTGTGTGTGATTTGGCCCCTGTATTTGTGTGTGTACCCGTTTGTCTGTTTCTTCCCCTCCTGTCTGTCATTCACCCTCTCTGGTCAACCTGTCTCTCCAGGACAAGGCTGCCCCGCCACCACTTCTGCTCCTACCACCCCTGCTGACACTAGTGCTACCCAAAATGCACCTCCTTCTTCCCCCCCTCCTCCACCACCACTACCTCCTCTTCCCTCCGCTCCTCAGCCTGGCTTCCAGTCCCAGGCCCCATCCCTCTCTCCTGCTCTCCTCCGACCTCCTCTCCCCTCACTCCCATACCTCCTCTCTCCATCCTGTCTGTCATACTCTCTGCTCAGCGCCTCTCTGGGAGCCACTCGGAGTGTTGTCATGCCAACCAACACACCAGCTTTCAGCCCCATCATTGCCACTCCGTCTCCGGTTAAAAATGACGTCCCTATAGTGCAGGATGCTGCAGGTACTTATCCCCGGCGCAAACCAACACTGCAGCTGTCACTCTCAATTGAGTCCTGTGCAGCATTTAACTGTGTGATCCTGCCTTTCTGTACAGAATAGTTGTGAAGAGATGGGAAATAAAAGCATGCAAAAAGGAGAACATTTATGTTGAAATGATGAAACGTGCATGCTTACCGAGTGGGTACAGTTACAGAGCAAATGTGTATAATTACTTTACTTGAACCTTTGCCTTGTAGTATTACTAGGATTTAGAGATAGAGCAGTAAATTTGGCATCTGTATTATGAAACCTGGGCCTTGTTTAGCTTCCATTAACAAGGCTGCATCAGCAGCCTTCTATTTTAATCACGCCTCAAGTTTTATCGAGGCCCACTGCTTCCTGTCTCGCAGAACAGGGATCACATCATTAGCAGTGACCCCAGGGTGCTGCAAAAGGTGGGTGCCCCTCATAAAACAACTTGGAGATAAGAGGGCCGGTTAAGACCCACAGCTCCGCCTCTGTTTGGAGGCTGGAGACACCCTGTAAAAGTGTCATGTTCCATAGTCAATCTATCATTTTCTCCCTCCTTTAATCATTCTGGGAATTAGGAATTAAAAAAAGTGTGGCTCTCTGTGCTTACTCAGCTGTGAACCACTTCTGCCTGAGTAAGGTCGCACATTAGAGTTTCAACCAGGGCGGTCTCGCAGCGTAATTTGCTTGTAGTTTGTGGGGTTTACTTTGTGAACCAAGTGATTATTCTTTAATGTGTTTCTGTTCTTTCTTTCAGGCAACACCATCTCCATTCCCACGGCCACTGGTTCAAAGAAGCGTTTCTGGATCATCGAAGACATGTCACCATTCGGCAAGCGCCGCAAGACCGCATCGTCACGTAAGATGCTGGATGAGGGGATGATGCTGGAGGGCTTCCGGCGGTATGACCTGTACGAGAACTGCAAGGACTCAGGCTGCCAGTTTTCTCTGAAGGTGACCCATTACCACTGCACACGTGAGAACTGTGGCTACAAGTTCTGCGGCCGCACCCACATGTACAAGCATGCGCAGCACCATGACCGCGTGGACAACCTGGTCCTGGACGACTTCAAGCGCTTCAAATCCTCGCTCAGCTGCAACTTCCCCGACTGCCAGTTTTCAGGCAACAGCACCCACTTCCACTGTCTGCGCTGTGGCTTCCGCTGCACCGACAGCACCAAGGTGACGGCCCACCGCAAGCACCATGGCAAGCAAGATGTGATCAGTGCCGCCGGCTTCTGCCAGTTCAGCTCCAGTGTTGATTGTGAGGTTCCCGACTGCAAATATAAGCTCAAGTGCTCGCACTTCCACTGCACCTTCCCGGAGTGTAAGCACACAGTGGTGGGCATGTCTCAGATGGATTCCCACAAGAGAAAGCATGAGAAGCAGGAGCGGGGTGAGTTGCCGTCTGTGTCCCCCAAACAGGAAGGGTCGCACTACCTGGGTGGAAGTGTGTCTGCCGCCCCTCCAACCTCTATGGGTCTGTCTACTTCCTCGCCTGGTGGCCTCCACAGTTTGTCCCACAACATTAACAGCAGCGCTCGCGCCATGCTCTACCCCACAGGCAGCATTGGGTCTGAGTATACCCACCCATACCCACCGTCCTCCATCAGCCTGGACAGCTCCCTCAACCTGGGCACCGACACCAGCAGCTCCCTGTTCTTCCTGAAGAATGCAGCCGGTCTGGGTCTCAGCGACTCACTGGACCTCAGCAAGAAGATGCACCACGAAGCAGCGCTATCTGGCCACAACCCCGCACCGCCGCTGGGTCTGCCAGCAGCTCAGGATGACACCACAGGAACATCTGGAGAGGCTGAAGACGACCTGTCGCCAGAGGAGGAGGCGCACGCAGAGGAGGAGGAGGAGGATGAAGAAGAAGAGGAGGACGAGGACGAGGAGGCAGAGGAGGATCTCAACAGTGACTCGAATGACGATTCGATGGAGCCCGATGGCGAAAAGGACAATGGCGAGAGTTTTGATGCTTCCGTTAATCACACTGATACTTCCCAACTGGAAAAGCAAGACCCTGACCCATGAAAAAAAAACTGTGACTGTAGGAACTGAAGAAAAACCCTGTGTACTTTGAACAAACAAAAATGAAAGTGGCCTCATTTATCATGTTTAGTGACTTCAGATGACAACAAAAAACAACAGCGTGCAGAAAATGACGGCCCAAAATGATTTATTATGATGTTTACAAGATGACCAACATTATTAATTCAATTATGCATTAAAAAATATGAACAGAGACACACAGAATTAGGCCCTGTTTTACGCACAGGGCAGCAATGTAAAGCATTTTACTACACATCAGTCTTTTTTGTGTGCGTGCATGTTTGACTTTAATTTATTTTTTTCACTTTTTTGTGTGTGGATAAAAAAAAACCCGTTAGAAAAACAAAAACAAATCTCTCTATATAACTATATATGTAAGTGTGTGTGTGTGTGTGTGTGTGTGTGTGTGTGTGAACGATGATATACAAAAGGAAATTGCTGGCACAGGCGATATGAACTGTAGGGCCACGGATATGTAGAAAAAGGGACGTGAATCACTAAGGGGGAAACAGGATGCGTTCAAACATTTGATCTTTTTTTCTGTATTAATATTGTTATTAATAATAATTATTATTATTATTATTATTATTAGACACTGAGAGAGAGGGAGTTACATGTTGCTTGTTCCCACCTCTCTCAGATGTTTTTCTTTGTTCTCAGTGACATGTGGAATTGACCAGTAAATGTTTGGTCACTCTCAGCTGCAGTCAGGTGTCCAGCAAGCCGCCAGTCTCAACAGCTCCCACCGACATTCTGCTAGATATGTTCATCTAGCACCGAAACCAAGCTCAGCCCTTGTAATTTCACCCCCCACCCTGCGGAGGAATCAAGTTTGTGTGTGGATAGTGCACTTTTATATTAGCTGACCATGATGATTACGGTGATGATAGATAACTCATAAGCATATTTAAAATTATTTTTGTTACCATTTGCATCTTTGCATTACAATGTCTTTTTGTTGTGTTGATAGTCAGAAGCATATCGATCTGTAAAAAGCAGGCGAGGCTGTGATTAACTGCCGGCGAGTCGGGCTGGGGATGAGTGTGTGTGTATGAGGGGGAGGGGGGGTCAGACTGACCAGAGGAAATGATGAGTCACTCAGATGCAGCGAGGGGGACGACAGACGAAGCGTCAGGGAGTGTGTTTTATGTTGAAAATTTACAGACCGAAAATGTCTCAACGGCATTTTGTTTTCCATTCACTATGGCTGTGGTTGAGCTCCTGTTGTAACGGTTTTTATTTAATATTTATGTGACCTTCCTATGAGAAAATTTTTTAGGGTGTTATTGCACTTTTTAGGTTCATTTTTACCGTCTGAAAAAAAAATGCTATATATCTTTTAACAGGGAATTTGCTTTAAAGATGTTGTTTTAGTTCACTTTTGCTTTAATGCACAAATAGATGTTAGTGTGACAAAGAACTGTTGTTCTGTGATTTATTTAAAGACTGGTTTTTATTTTGCTTCTGTGATTGGACAGTTTGAGAAAAAAGAAAAAGGAAATGGGTGCGCCAGAAAACCGGCGCCCTGATAAGGAACACTAATACAGATTGTGATTTTAAATTAATTCTTAAAAAGTTCATGGCAATGCTAAATTATAAATCTGTCAAAGCCACCCTCTGGTTTATATTGAGCGAATATTTACGACCGAGAAGCGGACACACTGATTATGAATTATCTCCTGAGCTTGGCATTGGAAATAAATGATCATAATATAGGGAATAATAATGTGTGTAGATGATATTCCTCCAGATATTGTTTTGAGAAGAAAAAAAAAGGTTGTACAGTATTTTCCTCTGTAAAAAATAACTATATATGAACAAAATGCTCTTTGATGAACAGCTTCCTTTAAAAAGAAAACCCTAAAAAGGAGAAATGAATAATAAAAAGTAAAAAAATTCAAATAGCCTCATCATAGTTTGCTTGTGTGCGTGACCTTTTTTAATTACCCCAGATTTTTTGGAAGAAATTGTTTGGCATTGGCAGATTCCGTTATATTTGCAGTATATTTTTTTTCTTTTTCCAAACTATGTCAGAAGCTCAAACTAAAATACACTGATTTGAATTCATTCATCAATGTTTCTGTTTTATTTAACGAGTCGTTTTTATTCATTGTCATTTTTCTATGTGTGTGCTTTAGTTCATTAATTGAAATTCTTGGTTTATATTTACTTTGCTGTGGGCATGCCTCGTTCACAGACTGAACAGTCTCCCGGGACTCTGCTGCAACGCAGAGGCGTTGCGACATTTGTTTTGTTTTCTCATCATTTGCTGAGATCAATGTAGGGCTGGGAGACATTGTGCACTTGAATTTTGTGTGTGTGTGTGTGTGTGTGTATGGGCGCGTGTGTGAGGGTGTAAAATAGTAGGATTTGTAAAAAGTTGAAAATAAAGAAACTATAATTATTATAACAATACACATGTAGTACTTGATAGTGCTTCAGCCTTGAGTCACATGTGGAGGGGTAAGGTGCTGGGCAGCAGAGCAAAAGGTCACAGCAGCAATCTCTCAGTCTCTTTTTATCTTGTCAGTGACACTACTGAAGTGTGTGTGTGTGTGTCTCCTTCTGTGAGAGACAGATAGGCCACGGCTGTAAGAACACAGACCTGTGGCTCTGTCCCAGCTGTTCAGAGCTTCGATTCATATTTCTTAACCTTGTGCATCTTTTCCCTGCTTTGTTCCCACTATAAATCCAACTGGGACACTTTTTTGTCACAGAATTTGAGGAAAACAAACAATAAACATCTGCATTCATGCAGGTAGAGGAATCAACAATATTTGTTGTTGGGGTCGCCCGTTGTTCACACTTGACATTCTGAGGAGAACAAGATCAGACAGAGGACCATTAGGGAGATTTAGAGGCCTGCTACTGCTAACAAGATGGCTCTCTGTGTCTTGTTCAGTGTTAACAGGGCACATTTATTTTTTTTAGTTCATTTATTTATTTATTTGTTTTTTTCCTTGAGCCATGTGCTGGGTTCTCCTCCCACTCCCTCATGTCACCCAGTGGCCAGTGTGCTGGTTCTGTCTGTCCCTTCGTCTACAGCTGTTCCTGTCCTTCCTCCTTCTCTTCCTTGTGATGTTTTTTTTATAAAAAAAAAAGAAAGAAAAAAACACGGGTAAAGGCATCACCATCTGTCAGCCAGCTGGCATCCTGTATATAATCTACCAGAAAAAAAAAAGAATAAACATGAAAATTATATTACACAAAAACCAGACGGAAACGACCTCCAAATCCTGCATAGACTGCTGCCGAAACGACAGATCATTTTACTGTTTTAATTAACAGAATAAAAAGGATGGTATAAAAAAGTGGTGGGGAAATAAACTGAGATGAATTTCCACTGCTGGGAAAGTGTAATATGAAAGCTGCCTGCTTACTGCAGCGTAGTGGATAAACAGAGCAACATTTTAGACTTTGTAAAATATATTGCACTTTTGGACTAAAAGCCATTTCCCGTTAGCGTTCAATTTGGCTAGATTCATGATACATTTTATATGAAAAGTAGACAATGAAGCAGTTTTTTAAAAAGTCTCTACTTGAATGTGTTGCCCTCAGCACTACTATTCATTCTTGTCCTACTGCTTATTTCCACTTGGATACAGTGCTGTTCATCTTCATTGTGTTATATTTATGTTTTTCTTCTGTTTCTGCATGTCTTATGCAAAGATTGAGCTTTTCACTCAGTGAAATAAAAACATACTGAACGACTTTAGGCCTGTTTTCGGTGTCGATGTCTTTTTAAATTTCATTGAGGAGTAGGGCACATCTTTCAACAATTGCATACTTTCTACCTTTTCACAAAACACAAGTCGTATATATTATGAGCGTGCCGGGTATGCATGCGTGCCAGCCCTCACTGACATGCAGTCGGTTGATGTGCCAGGAACAGGTTGAGTGAGAGTGTGAGCAGTGTGGAGAGGCAACAGTCGGGGCCTGGGAACACACACGACAGGTGTGCACTGCATATGTGGTCACATGATGCCTATGAGGCAGATTAGGGTCCAAACAGATGAAGCGCTGCTTAATGGCAGCTTTTATTAAGTTCACAAAGCGTGGAGGGGGGTTGAACAGAGGAAAAGCAGGTGGCTGGGCCTGTGCACTCTTAGATGAAGACAGATATTGTACAGTGGAGTCTGAAGAGGGTAGCCACTGTGGAAGGATTTATGAAGATTTGTCCGCCCTGGACTCACCGCCTGCCTGTTCCTGAATCCTGCAGTAATAGCCACAGAGGGAGAGCTGGAAAAACACAGACATAAAAAGTGCCAGCCAAGAAGCCAGAGAGTGTGATCATATAAGATGAAGTTAAAACTATAATACCTGTGTGCATGGTCTGTCACTACTACAACAAAAAAGGATGCACATATACACAAAAGTATAGACAAATTGAATTGTCATTTTATAGCATAGCATGCAAAAACACACATATATATACACACACAATACGTGTTTAAAGAAAATACAAGACAAAGATGTGCACATAAAATATACAGCAAAACAGCGTATATTCAATTACAGATGTATGAAGATAACTAAATATGTGTAGGTTTGGGTATACACAGGCTTCTGCAGAAAAATGAACAAAACAGCTCAAGATCAGTATGGTCAGTGAGGGCTCACAGGCTCTGACTGGCTTGAGGCTGTTTGGACTGTATGTACCTTACAGCGTGAAGTCTGCCAACATTACAGAGCACCTACAGGGCTCTGCATTCAAGCCGAGATACTACAGTGAGATATGATATATGCAACACAGTTTAATACCCACCTCTCTGCAAAAGCTGCCTCCAGGCGCATACCTTTCAAATAAACAGACAGTTTGTGACACCATAATAAATAATAACAGACTGTTTGTGACATCAGTTAATCTGCCAGTCTCCCCCTCAATTTTTAGCTTTTTCTTTTTCTTTTCTTTTTTGGAAAATAAATTCTTCCTGAAGCAGAAAGTCATGGTTTTTCATTCCTGACCAGAAATGTAATGAAAATAACCTTGTGGAACTTGCAGTAAAATTCTTAAAGTGGCTATAAGTAATATTAACTTAATTCATATTAACAATGGATCACATGACTATTTGTCCAGTATGCAAAATTGGTTGCTTGTAGTGATAAACCCACAGAGAACTATCACCTGACTGCAGTTCCCATTTTAGCATCTTTCAACTTTGGTTTTTGACTGCAATTTAATTGTTTTGATAAAGTACCTGCTCAGCACCAAACAACAGACAAAGTTATCGACCAGCTTGTGAACACAGTGGAGCATTTAGCAGCTAAAGAGCCAGATATTTCCCTCAGGAGTTGGTGGAGACCAAAAACAGAGCTAAAATGAAAGTGAATATTGGAATTCATCCGGAGACCCGGAACGACTCCGCATGAATGCTAATGTTACTCCGAATCTGCTGGATGTGTAAATAGGCAACTGTTTGCTAACAAGCTTGCCACATCAACTTAAAAGGTGAGCATTGATAGTTAGTGTTGTTAGCTTGTTTCTGCTGTCCCCTAGTGGCCAAAATGACCATCAATGACATTTGTGATATAGGGCAAGTTAGCACATTCACTGCCTCAAGCTAGTGTGACTAGTTTAAACCCCCTAGCAAGTGTTTGTAACATGATAGTTTTCTTCTTTGTTTTTTGAAAAGCTGAAACATGTTTCTGGAGTTTTCTGTGCTAAGGGAAACTTGTATCTGAAACTGTACCAAAATGTAAGTCCCTCACTATTTTAACCAAGATATCACAAATGATTTTGTTAGCGTTCAACAGTTAGCCACTGGCCTGCTTTTAAATCCTCACTGGTACTGTAGTTGTTGAATGCTAATTGTTATTTTATATTTGTAAATCAGAATCAGAAATACTTTATTGATCCCCGAGGGAAAATTCTTGTGTCACAGTTGCACACATTGCACATCAAGGCATAAAGGATAATCCCCAAGAACATGTTTCAGCTTTGAGAAAGGCCAATGAAACCCTCTATGACAAAAACCTTAACAGTTACAGAACTAGTAGAGTAGAGGCTAATGTCAAACCGTTATTACCAATTTTTGACATGTACAGTCCATCCATCCATCGTCAAGAGCTTATCCTGCGTACAGGGTCGCCGGGTTTGATACATCTTTGCACTTCAACTCATAGATGCCTGTTTTCATTACCTGTTTACTAAGATGAATATCGATATCAGCCTCAAAAACATTGGTATCAGTATCGGTTGGGCTCTCCTATACATCCTTGGAAATACACAAAATCATGATACACTCTAAAAATAATACAAGAACTGTCTATGTGTTGGTTATGAGAGCTGTGGGACTTTAAAACAGGCTGATTTAGGCAGTTAAAACAGAGATCTTACGGCTTCCCCCAGTTGATATTTAACTTATCCAGATTATTTCTGCCCCAAATGTGGCAAGATAAGTTTTTATAACTAAGCCCCCGAAGCTGCCCAGCTCAGCGCTGCAAAAATGTAAGGCGCTGGCCACAAGTAGAGGATCCTTTTGCATAAAATAAATAGCCTGCAATCTTGCATATGATATCTTTGTCATCAGACACAGTCCAGCCTGTTGTCGATAGCCCCCACAGGTACACAGTATATCACGTATCATGTGGATAGGACACGGCTGCATCGCTCATTTTACTGCTTCATTGGCCCATTTATAGTTCACGTTTTTTGGATGAGATGTTTCCCTTGCCTCTTTCAGCACTCCACCCCGGTTAGACCTCACTTTAAATCTGGTGCCCTTTGTAATAGATGTCCATTTATCTATTTTTGCATGTGTATGGGCTTATTTTGGAAAGACCTCAGTCACACGGCAGAAAAGGGGGCTGTGCGAAAAAAGCTGCTTTGCCATTGGTAGCAGCTGTTGCTGCTGAGACACCTCAGAGGAAATGGAGAATTGGACACACACTCATCCAATTTACCATTAACAAGACCTTATTGGATGCAGGGCCATAGGAACATGCGGCTTTGCCTTATGTGGCTCGGTTTAGATATGCCGCTGTTATTCTTGAACGTTTGTGACTGGGGTCTGTGATAGTGTTGGCATCTTAGTGTGGGGATCAAAGTGTGGTGTACAGTGTAATCTCGAGACTGTTAGCAGACATTTAGCTTCAGGCAGGGTGCCCTGTATTATTACATATGGTTACTATACCAGAAAACAAAGCGATTATTACAACAGGGACTTGTACTCAGCAACAACACAGAAAATGTTGCCATTTAAGAGTAAAACTTAGGGGCAAAGAATACTATTAAGTACATGGCAGTAACCCAAAATAACAAGAATTTCCAAGTCTATGGAATAATCACTATTAAAACCATCCGTAGGAAAGTCTGAGTTGTAACATGAGATAGTTTCAAACATCAAACACTGAAGCTGGTCTACAAAGATCTGCAAAAACAAGAGATTTCCAGCCGTTTTATATTTTCCACATTTAAATCCAACCACACCAAGAGAACTAGGTTGTTGTTAAGCTATTTAACATAGCAACCACTGGTCAGACGAGTATTGACTTCATCCTCCTCCAAATATAAAAATATATAATTATCTTTTAAAGGTCCTATGCTGTATGAAGCACAGGCCTACTTCTGTATAGGCTCAGCAGGTTTTGAATCATATATAACTCTGTTGTGCAACACCTGTGTGTTTTGTTTCCGGCCGGGTAACTTTCTCCCTTTTTCCATAAACACACCTCACATTCTTTAGAGGGTGGTGTATCTCGAAATCTTTGTCTTTCAACACATTTTATGTTATGACATAAAGATAACAAAGCATTCTTCTCACAGTTTTGCTGGAACATTCAGTTCAAAACAAACAACGGCGGTGTGGTTATTAACTTCAAAAACCAGAAAAACTGGATTAAACGCCGGCCAGTTCACACACTTGGTTAACCCGCCCTGAAACTGCTGATCAGCACGTCATGGCACTGATCCACATAATCTTTTTGTCTTTGATAAAGCGGCGTACTTTTTCTTTCGTTTTTTTTGTTTTTCGGGTCGGGTCAGTTTGTTAAGAGGCAGGAATTTAATGTCTTGCTCAAGAGCACTTCAGCAGTGAAAGTGAAACATTAAATTCAGTCAAAATTTATATGAAGCTATATGACTTTATCATAGATATGAAGGTGTAGTAGGTCAGTCAAGCTTTTCATGAGAGATACTTTAGCACTTTAGATTAAATGTTTGACCTTTAGATGAAGTTTCCTGAAAATTAAAATCCATTATTTCCACACACTTTACCAGAAGTCCTCTAGAGGAGACGATACATCAGGTACTTAACTCCTGGTGCATTTTAAATGTAGATGGATGTTTGATTCTAATGACAAAAGGTGTGAATGTGTTCGTGTCTTTGACCACAAGTAAAAATATGGCCGTCATGCTCAAAATCAAAGGTGTTTTTTTTGCTGAGTTGGGAACCAACACAGTTCCTGTATTTCTGTGAGCTCTGTTTGAAGTGAACACATTTTCAAAATGAAGGGGAGGGGTGTAACGTTACAGGGGAGCTGTTATTTGGTAAACACGCAGTTGTCATCTTACAAACACAAACAGAATCCAGTGGAAAGATTAGCATTGAAGCCCTTTAAACAGCTTGTGAAAAATGAGCCTCCTGTCAGCCCTGTTACATAAATGTTTACTAAGAAATACCAAACATTGTGTTCTATTTGTTTTACTTTGCCTCAAGTTTGCCCATTGCCACAGATTAATCATCCCCAGAGTTAAACACGACTTTGCCAACAGAG